CGCCAGTCACACAAGGTTCATATGCATAAAATATGTCAATTTATATTGTTACTTATATCAAAACAGTCTAAGAAGTACTATCCAAGATACATATATATTTAGAAATTGAAAAAGGGGAAGACACCTTATAATCCATATGCTTTTGAGTCAAAAAACATTGCTGAATTTAGTATGCCATCTGGCACTGTGTTTCCGGTCTGACAACTTTCAAATCATGGGTTTGCTTCTCTTGGTAAATAAATGCCTAACCTATTACTGCACTGAGACACACTCTAGAGAAAGAGAGAAATTAGATATCACTCAAGTGCCCCATTGGTTTGAGGATGGTGCTGCAGATGCTTGAAAGAGGCTTTCTACCAGTATAATCTACTTGCAAACAACTCCATTATAATTGGCAGATATTAACTTAAATGCTATAAATACATCCAGAAGAGATAAGGAGATAGAAAACTAACTATGTCATAGCACTAATTCCTAAGTGTCATTTAAGATTAATATGGTTACTTCACATATTAGTCTAGGCAAAATTTTATCCCTTTTTTGATAAAAATGTGAATTCTCAGCTATTTTATTGAGAGTATATCTTCTCTAATTATTAGCACCATCCATCATGGAGCTGAGGGGGCGAGGTTTAGTTTTTATGTTCCTGTGGCCAAATACCTGGCAGATAACTGCAGTTGCTTGGTGCCATTGAGACCTCTGCATGCTGTTCTACAATGGAGTTTATTGAAGTGTGGTCCCTCAATCAGCAGCAGCAGCTCTTGAGAGTTTGCTATAAATATACAAATTCTCAGAACCTACTCTTCGCCTACTGAATGAGAAACTCTAGAGGTGGGGTCCAGCCCTCCAAATGTTTGTCATTCATGCTCAAGTCTGAAAACCACTTTCCTAGAGGCATTTACACAGACCCTAAGGTCTTTTCATGAATCACAGTGAAAAGCTACAGTTCAAGATAGGAAGCCTGTTATGCTGTGAGCATGTGAGGTGTGAAGTGCATGATGAACATGCAAATTAAGGTGTTCAGGTAACAGGTAGGAGTGGGGGACTATCATAATTCAGAAGAAATAAAACAGGATCATGCATCCAAATTAAGGAGGCATCTACACAGAAGTGATGTTATGGAAGTTGATATAATGGAAGGAAATGATACTTTTTTTTAAATTTTTTATTGGATTTTAGGTTTTGGGGTACATGAGCAGAGCATGCAAGACAGTTGCGTAGGAACACACATGGCAGTGTGCTTTTCTTTCCTTCTCCCCTTCACCCACATTTGGCATTTCTCCCCAGGCTATCCCTCCCCACCTCCCCCTCCCACTGACCCTCCCCTTTTCCCCCCAATAGACCCCAGTTTTAATACTCCCCTTTCTGTGTCCATGTGTTCTCATTTTTCATCACCCGCCTATGAGTGAGAATATGCGGTGTTTCATTTTCTGTTCTTGTGTCAGTTTGCTGAGGATGACGTTCTCCAGATTCATCCACGTCCCTACAAACGACACAAACTCATCATTTCTGATTGCTGCATAATATTCCATGGTGTATATGTGCCACATTTTCCAATCCAGTCTATTATCAATGGGCATTTGGGTTGATTCCAGGTCTTTGCTATTGTAAACAGTGCTGCAATGAACATTCGTGTACATGTGTCCTTATAGTAGAACGATTTATAGTCTTTTGGATATATACCCAGTAATGGGATTGCTGGGTCAAATGGAATTTCTATTTCTAAGGCCTTGAGGAATCGCCACACTGTCTTCCACAATGGTTGGACTAATTTACACTCCCACCAACAGTGTAAAAGTGTTCCTTTTTCTCCACATCCTCTCCAGCATCTGTTGTCTCCAGATTTTTTAATGATCGCCATTCTAACTGGCGTGAGATGGTATCTCAATGTGGTTTTGATTTGCATCTCTCTGATGACCAGTGACGATGAGCATTTTTTCATATGATTGTTGGCCTCATATATGTCTTCTTTCGTAAAGTGTCTGTTCATATCCTTTGCCCACTTTTGAATGGGCTTGTTTGTTTTTTTCCTGTAAATCTGTTTGAGATCTTTGTAAATTCTGGATATCAGCCCTTTGTCAGATGGGTAAACTGCAAAAATTTTTTCCCATTCTGTTGGTTGCTGATCCACTCTAGTGACTGTTTCTTTTGCCGTGCAGAAGCTGTGGAGTTTCATTAGGTCCCATTTGTCTATTTTGGCTTTTGTTGCCAATGCTTTTGGTGTTTTGTTCATGAAGTCCTTGCCTACTCCTATGTCCTGGATAGTTTTGCCTAGATTTCCTTCTAGGGTTTTTATGGTGCCGGGTCTTATGTTTAAGTCTTTAATCCATCTGGAGTTAATTTTAGTGTAAGGTGTCGGGAAGGGGTCCAGTTTCTGCTTTGTGCACATGGCTAGCCAGTTTTCCCAACACCATTTGTTAAACAGGGAATCCTTACCCCCTTGCTTGTTTTTGTCAGGTTTATCAAAGAATGTATAGTTGTAGATATGTTGTGTTGCCTCCGGTGCCTCTGTTTTGTTCCATTGGTCTATATCTCTGTTTTGGTACCAGTACCATGCTCTTTTGATTACTGCAGCCTTATAGTATAGTTTGAAATCCAGTAGTGTGATGCCCCCCGCTGTGTTCTTTTTGCTTAGAATTGACTTGGCTATGCGGGCTCTCTTTTGGTTCCATATGAAGTTCATGGTGTTTTTTTCCAGTTCTGTGAAGAAAGTCAATGGTAGCTTGATGGGGATAGCATTGATTCTGTACATTACTTTGGGCAGTATAGCCATTTTCATGATATTAATTCTTCCTAACCACGAACATGGAATGTTTCTCCATCTGTTTGTGTCCTCTCTGATTTCGTTGAGCAGTGGTTTGTAGTTCTCCTTGAAGAGGTCCCTTACGTTCCTTGTGAGTTGTATTCCAAGGTATTTTATTCTTTTTGTAGCAATTGCGAATGGCAGTTCGTTCTTGATTTGGCTTTCTTTAAGTCTGTTATTGGTGTAGACAAATGCTTGTGATTTTTGCACATTGATTTTCTATCCTGAGACTTTGCTGAAGTTGCTTATCAGTTTCAGGAGTTTTTGGGCTGAGGTGATGGGGTCTTCTAGGTATACTATCATGTCGTCTGCAAATAGAGACAATTTGGCTTCCTCCTTTCCTATTTGAATACCCTTTATTTCTTTTTCTCTCCTGATTGCTCTGGCTAGAACTTCCAGAACTATATTGAATAGGAGTGGTGAAAGAGGGCATCCTTGTCTAGTTCCAGATTTCAAAGGAAATGATACTTTTACGAGAAAGTGGGCTGAAAGAAAAATGAAGTGGACCACAGAAAGCATCTTGCAGAAAGACAGTATTTATGGGTTAGAAGAGAAGTTTACATGAAAGAAACAGGGAAATCAGAAACATAATGTTATATAAGCAAAGGTGATAGTTATCTGAAATTTACCAGTTGTTTACATCTCTTCTGATTTCTGAATGTTCTGTTCTTACTGGTATCCAGGTTGATATGGTTTTAAAATAATTTTAAGCCTAGGCTCAAACTTATCAGACTACTAGAATTAACACACATGTATAAATATCAGGAAGTGAGTTTTAGTGTCCTTGAAGTCAAAAGAATTGTCCCAAAGCCGCCAGAACAACAGTCAAGAATGTTCCTCTATTGTTGATGTTTTATGGCCCAAATATTTTAAGTTCTATGCTTAATGCAGAATTCATTTTATTCTGAAATTTATAAATGTTTCAATTTAACTTGATCTAATCATCAAGTAATAATACACTGCCTATCATTAGGGAAACACAATAGATAGCTGAAGACGTCGATACTGGTACACTCAGCATATTGACAATATTTAAAATTTAAGTGAACTATGAATCTTGATATCTTATTCTATAAGGAAATTGACGAAAGAGGATAGATAAGTTCTTATTCTTAGAGCAAATGAGAAAGCCAAATTTTCTCATGTAAAAAGGGGGAAGAGTAAGGAGAAAAATTAGATTTTAAAACTAAGTTTATTTTATTTACATTCTACTTTTTGATTCTTATGGACAAACTGATTAGCATGATGAAAAATAACTCACAGTATTTTATGGGTAAGATAAGTGGAGACCCGAAAAATCATGTCTTCCTATAATCATTCAGTTTAATAATATTCTCAGTCCCAATATGCAAGAACTGAGCCCTGTAAAAAATTAATTATCCCAGGTTTGGTTTTATTTTCTCCCCAGCAGAAAACCAACACAGCACACATTATTTAAAAAATCATTCCTCCAGAATTAAGTCAGTCTCAGTTTTCTGTCTCTTTTTTCAACTGTGTAAAATGGCCAAGGGTAGGATCAGGGGAAGATAAGATTTAGAGTAAGAGCATACTGATATCCAAACATATGGCTTTTATAAGCAATCAAGATTCTCTATGATATGTGCATCAAAAATTGTGAAAGTCAGCCAGGCACGGTGGCTTACACCTGTAATTCCAGCATTTTGGGAGGCCAAGGAAGGCGGGTCACCTTAGGTCAGGAGTTCAAGACAAGCCTGGCCAACATGGTGAAACCCCATCTCTACTAAAAATACAAAACTTAGCCAAGTGTGGTGGTGGATGCCTGTAATCCCAGCTACCCAGGAGGTTGAGGCAGGAGAATTGCTGGAACCTGGGAGGTGGAGGTTGCAGTGAGCTGAGATCACACCACTGCACTCCAGCCTGGGTAACTGAGTGACACTCAGTCTCAAAACAAAATAATGGTGAAAGTCTGCATTATATTACTCTCTTCACTGATTTTTCTTCTACTTTTTTCACAACAACCTCAACAACAAACCACATTATAACCCTTTTTACTTTCAAACTAGATTTGAATATTTGACATCATTGAACTCAATGAAAATTAATGAAGGCTTCCTTTTTTGGTCTTTCAGAAACAGGACATTTGAAGATATCTGTGAGAAATTGTGCATGTTTTCATGTCCTATTGTTATCTTTGTAGAGTAGTGACTTCAACTTTTATTTTGATTTATTTTAACAGACAATAAAGATTATGATGCATACTTATCATACACCAAAGTGGATCCTGACCAGTGGAATCAAGAGACTGGGGAAGAAGAACGTTTTGCCCTTGAAATCCTACCTGATATGCTTGAAAAGCATTATGGATATAAGTTGTTTATTCCGGATAGAGATTTAATCCCAACTGGAAGTAAGTTAATGTTTTCATTTGAGAGTGTGCATATTCATGTGAATGTCTGTGTAGTCATCACTTTTTTCATGGAATTTTAATGTTTGCCTCTATACTTCAAAATTTGTATCTGTTAGTTTCCCAAGAAAGAAATGTTTTTTTTGTGTTCACATGAAATTTAATTTTTGCTAGTTCAGAAAAGATATTCCATTACTGTATAAAGCATCTCATTTTATCAGCCTTGACATTGAAAGAAACGAAATGAGAGATTTTGTACTGGGAAAAATATTGCTGACATTAGGAGAAGCAAGTCTCAAACTCTATTCAGTGATCATTAGCTATTTTTGTCTGCTTAAAGTGTTACCCAACAAACTATTTTCATTTAATTTCTGAAAGAGAGAATCTACTGGGACTTTCTGGACCAAATTTTCCATTCACTCATTCTGATGCACTCTTTTATCTTTTGTAGCATACATTGAAGATGTGGCAAGATGTGTAGATCAAAGCAAGCGGCTGATTATTGTCATGACTCCAAATTACGTAGTTAGAAGGGGCTGGAGCATCTTTGAGCTGGAAACCAGACTTCGAAATATGCTTGTGACTGGAGAAATTAAAGTGATACTAATTGAATGCAGTGAACTGAGAGGAATTATGAACTACCAGGAGGTGGAAGCCCTCAAGCACACCATCAAGCTCCTGACGGTCATTAAATGGCATGGACCAAAATGCAACAAGTTGAACTCTAAGTTCTGGAAACGTTTACAGTATGAAATGCCTTTTAAGAGGATAGAACCCATTACACATGAGCAGGCTTTAGATGTCAGTGAGCAAGGGCCTTTTGGGGAGCTGCAGACTGTCTCGGCCATTTCCATGGCTGCGGCCACCTCCACAGCTCTAGCCACTGCCCATCCAGATCTCCGTTCTACCTTTCACAACACGTACCATTCACAAATGCGTCAGAAACACTACTACCGAAGCTATGAGTACGATGTACCTCCTACCGGCACCCTGCCTCTTACCTCCATAGGAAATCAGCATACCTACTGTAACATCCCTATGACACTCATCAACGGGCAGCGGCCACAGACAAAATCAAGCAGGGAGCAGAATCCAGACGAAGCCCACACAAACAGTGCCATCCTGCCGCTGTTGCCAAGGGAGACCAGTATATCCAGTGTGATTTGGTGACAGAAAAGCAAGGGACATCCCGTCCCTGGGAGCTTGAGTGGAATCTGCAGTCCAGTGCCTGGAACTAAATCCTCGACTGCTGCTGTTAAAAAACATGCATTACAATCTCTAGAACACGAGGAAAAACAGGGTCTTGTACATATGTTTTCTGGAATTTCTTTGTAGCATCAGTATCTTCGTGTTTTACCATGTCTTTTACCATTACATTTTTTGACTTTGTTTTATATGTCATTAGAATTTGTAAACTTACATTTTTTTTTAAAGAAGAGACTGATGTGTAGATAGAAAACCCCTTTTTTTTGCTTCATTAGTTTAGTTTTAGAATGGGTTTTTGTTTTATTTCCTTTTTTATAAATTTTATTTTGCTTTTAACATTCCTTGGGGTGCTTGGACAAATCTATCCGATGGGACAAGGAGCACCGGATCCTTTCTCGGGTTCTGCCTAAAAACAACTGGGCCACATCGGCCTTCAGAGAACAAACAGTGCAACAAATGCCAGCATTGCCATTCGGGGAAAAACAGATGAGAAGAACACTTGTTCATAGGAGTGCCCCACCAGTCAGAGCCCTGAATCTCTTCCTTGTCCCACCTCATTCCCCACCTCTACCTTGCTAATGGCGGCATGATGTGTAAACTCTGTGGAGGGGTGGGGGTGGGTCTAACTGTCTTAACATTTAAGTCACTGCTCTTCAGAATACACTCTAGACCCAAAGGTGTGCTAATCACTTCACAGTGACCACTACAGAGTGCTAAGAAGAGAAGATCAAGGGCATGAAATTGGGGAAGAGTGTTATTTTCGTTTTTTAAATGAGTTGATGTACCCTTATATATATATATATAAATATAAATATAAATATATATAAAAACAACAAAACAAAACAAAACAAAAACAAAAACAAAAAAAAACAAAAAAACAGAAAACAACAACAAAAAAATCAAGCCCTATATTTGATCACTTCCTGGAAAGGCATGAATGTGTTCGTGGCTGTTTTTGTTTAATATTCTACTTCCTCTTTTCCCTCTATAATTTCTCTGCAAATGAGATTATGTGCAAATGCCAGGCAAGTTAACTCAAAAGAGTGAATCAACGCAAGTCAAAATGAAATTTACACTGAAGGCTTCCAAACCAAAGGGAAGGACAGGATGTGTTATCAAATATGTTTTGTCACCTTGTATTATACAAAATGTTATTTTCTAAAGAGTCAGAGAAAATCTGTGAAACTTATTGTGTGGCCCCCTTGTAATTAAATGTTAACTCGCTTGTATTTACTTTTCAACACTACATTAAGAATTAAGTGGTTTCGGTTTATGGACATAAGCAACACTTATTAATATGAAGGTGTTTAAGAACTCAGGAGGGCAAACATATGAATACCAACAGAGATCGGTATTTTCAAAATAAACATTATTTATACAAAATAGTTTTTAAATTAGATCAGAAAGTATTTAAAATAATTAATTTTACTGTATAAAGAATTTGCTTTATTTTAGCTATATAATTCTATCTTTCAGAAAACAGAAAGCTGATGCTCCCAAGAAATTCATTTCTTACCGTTTAGCTTTATGTTTGAGATCAATGACATAAGCAGCTAATTCATATTCATGTGAAGGTTGATACAAAACCAATTACAAAGGAATCTGCAGAGGGCAGAGTTGTTACAAAGAAATATTACCTATGTAGCTTTTAGTTTAAAAAAAAATCAATGTGATAAAACACTGATAATAGAACTTATATATTAATTTAGTGATTCATTGTATGAATTCCCATCCCATCATCATCTGTGGGCTCGTGTAGTGACTATTGTATGTTTGGTTTATTCCTACTACCATTTAATGAGAAAACAATTGTACTGTTTTGGTCACAATAGTAAGGTGTCAGTTGGCCACACACACACACACACACACACACACAAATACAAACTGCAATAGGGTTCACTGGGGAGGGTGAGATTAATTTGCAAATATATGAGAAAGAAGTATAAGCATTCGTAACAATGCAATGGTCTCAGTATCTGTGTGACAAGGTAAAGGAGCCTTGGGATGTGCATTGATTATTATTTGCTTAAAAAATGTTTATTTCCCTGACAACTCACCTGAGTCCTTCTCTACAATCTGTTCTTTATTCCCGTGCTCTCCCCTTGGATGTGTGTCACATTTTCACAAACCAGAAGTGAAGCTGCAAGGACACATAAAACTTGAAGGTCAGCTTTGCACATTGGGTTATTTTCAGAATCGGAGAAGGCCATTGTTTACTTTGTACTATGGACAGCTGTCAGGGACTGGTGGCAGTGTACCTCATTGGACTGGATTCCAAACTCCCCCAGTGCTCAGAAAACTGTAAACATGGCAATGGCCTGATTTATCTCTTTGTTTTTTAAATTTTCTTTAAGTGCACGATGGAAGTGTGGAATCAATGTAGAGGAAGTAATCAGACCACAGTCATATTTTAGGCATCCATAGGTGTTAATTTAGCTGCATTGGGAGTACATTTTTTGTTCTATTTTTAGTGTAGATTTAAGCACTTTGACTAGCATGATTCAGGGATTGATGGGTAATATTTGATATTCTCACAACTTATGAAACTTCCTTTTCCTCTAATGCTTTGTCATATTTAAAAAATGAAATAAATGCAAAAGAAGCTATCTATGGCTTTAGAAACATTCCTCCCAAGTATTCCTCTATCAGCTCCATGTGAGAACAAATGAAGGAAACTGTCATGTGTTCACGTGCTCTATGTTTAACAAAAGTTCTGTTAGAACTCACAATAAAAAGAGAAAAAAAATCTATTTCCCCTAGTGCTTAGGCTTCATCTTTTGCTTTTTTCAGTGGGGGCTGTGGGCGATAAGAATATTCTAGTTGTCAAAACACAGTTGAAAATGTGAATATGTTGGCCGAGCTGGGCTAGAGAATGGACTTCCAGACTTGGACATCTGTGATGTTTGGTATTGCCTGTTTTTCATCAGTTGCTGCTCGAGCTCTGAACGATACTTTGTGGATTCAAAAGATCATCTGGTTCCTTAGTGTAACCTCTACTTTCTGCTTATGAGCGTCCTATCCCTTATTCTGGTGCTCAAACGTTTGCTTCTTTAATTTGTACTCCATTCCTTAGGTCTCCTGTGGACAGAGAAGACATTTGTATCTCGTTTAGACCGCTGATTTAAGTTTAGATCAATTTTATGAAACAAATCTGAGACATGATGATTTAAGAGACCTGAATCTACTATATTTCTGTAGCTAAACACTAACTGTTGAAACAGTAAACCACTTTGTGATAATTACTTTCTACATAATATATGTATTTGGACCCTATCAACTTAATCTTAAAATATAGATGCTGTTTTTTTCCATATTTCATTACTATCTAGCATTTTATAACAAAAACAAATATTAACTGAGAACCAACCCCTAAATTGTAAGTATTGTTTATCCTAGAATAGTCATTAACTTTTCAGATATCATTTATGTAAATTAAGATCACAATTTCTAGGAAAACATCGATTCATACATTTGTGAATTATTTTTGGATTCTGGAATGATACCCTAGTTCTCTTTTTTCTAAGGAGTATTTTTTTAATATTGAGATTAATTTCTTTCTTTTTTTATTAGGTTAAGTTTGTATCATTAGTACCAGAAGAAAGCCTATTGAAATTCAAAGATAGCATCAGCATTATACAAATGAAGTGACTGCCTGGAACCAAGAGAATACGCAGACATGGAAGAGGAAAATCCCTTCTCCTGTCTCTGATTTGAACTTGCTTTCTCATTAATCTCATTATTGACATAGCTGACTAATACAGGTGAAATATTATTACATAGGTGAGAAATCCCATCTACAGACACATTCCCTGTTGCTGAAAAACTTTTCTAACAGTACATGCAACTTTTGCCAAAAGATGGTGATGCAACTAGAATCCGTAAAAGGAGAAGTTTGTCAATGGAAACAGAGGCTATTCCTTGTCTTATCATCAATCCTTTGCACTTTATTGTTCTGAACAAAGAAAGTAACCAATCATCAAAGTTGGATTATCCTTAACAATAGATCTTACCCTTGGGTTCAAAGATACCTTGGGTCTAGAAAAAGGAATAAAATAATGAAGCCCTTGAAATTCCAGACAAAATTGTTAATGTGTATAAAACTATGTTCATCTGAATGTGAGTTTCAAAATATCGATCACCTAAAAAGCTATTGATGTTTGGATTTAGAAGATATTCTCAGAAACTGATATTCAGATAAACCCACATGTCTTGCAGGCATTGTTTTATCTACCACTCTCTACCTTCATTCACAAAAACTCAGGAGATGATTATTGTTCTGCTACAGACAAGTTTCCTTCCAAAATGGCCTGATGTTTTGGGAGACTTAACCTATAGTAAACAAAAAAAATTGTATGATGACAACTAATTCATGTTCAGATTAAAATAATTGGCTATCATTGTTGTGATAACCTTACCCATGTCGTTACCCATTCTAAAAATAGTTTGGGATGAATGTAAAATTATATAATTTGGCAATGATGCCTTATTTCAGTAAATTTCTTCCTGATTTGTGTTTAATTATTTTTCCTACAATATAACTAAGAATTCATCCAGTACAGTAAAAGAAAAAACAACCATTTGACATGTTTTTCTTAAAAAAAAGAAAGAAAAAGAAAAACCCACCAAGTTGTTTTATGCAAGGATTTAGAAGTGCTTATATATTTGTTTTTCAGCAATTATGGTTTTGCCAGTTTCATGACTTATGATGTGACTTTGGAGCAATATGAAAAATTTTGAGAATAAAGTTAGGTAGTGGTTAAAGTTTTACCTTTTACTTGAAATTGGTAGCAAGGTAAACGTTTATTCTATGTTAATAAATTGATATACTGTCACAAGGAGCTGTTAGATATAATTAAATTTAAGGAAGAAAGATAAAAATGTTATGATGATGATGATGATGAGTTAATCCTAATCCTAATCAAATGTGCCTTGTTATCATCAAATTTCTGTTACATCCATAGAAAATGCCCAGACTAAAAATAATGGCGCTCAATTCCAATCTTCTATTATAATTTCTTCTTTCCGTGCTCCGAATGCAAAACATGTTTTCGTGTGTGCGTGCGTGCGTGTGTGTGTGTGTGTGTGTGTGTATTTATCCTGAGCATTGGTAAATTTTTCTCTAAATAGCCTCTGGGTCCACTGACAAACTCATGTTTCTGAATTCTTCATTACAGTAAGTAAAGTACTATTGTTTTTTTTTCTACCATTCACTATCTTCATTGATGCATCCCCATGTTCCATAAGCCTGAAGCGTCTTCTCTTTTTATCAAAGGGAATCATTCTTAAAAAGCTATCACACTATGTTCTCTCCACTACTAAGTGAATAGAATCTGAAAAACTGCACATGAACTTGAGAGTATTACATGTAATATTGTTGTGTAAATTTTAACCTTCATAATCCAGATAACATTGTTTCAAAGGGCATGCTGTGTCATTAAAAAAAGATTTAATGTGAAATGACATTATTACATAGTGCAT